TGGATTGTAAACTGTCATGGTCAAAACATATTGATACAACAGTAGCTAAAATGGGGAGAAGTCTGTCCATAATAAAGCGCTGCTCTGCCTTCTTAACAGCACTATCAACAAGGCAGGTCCTACAGGCTCTAGTTTTGTCGCATCTGGACTACTGTTCAGTCGTGTGGTCAGGTGCCACAAAGAGGGACTTAGGAAAATTGCAATTGGCTCAGAACAGGGTCTGCACGTCTGGCCCTTGGAAGTACACAGAGAGCAAACATTAATAATATGCATGTCAATCTCTCATGGCTCAAAGAGAGATTGACTTCATCACTACTTGTATTTGTGAGAGGTATTGACATGTTGAATGCACCAAGCTGTCTGTTTGAACTACTGGCACACAGCTCAGACACCCATGCATACCCCACAAGACATGCATCCAGAGTTCTCTTCACAGTTCCCAAGTCCAGAACAGACTATGGGAGGCACACAGTACTACATAGAGCACTGACTACATGGAACTCTATTCCACATCAAGTAACTGATGCAAGTAGTAGAATCAGATTTTAAAAAACAGATACAAATACACCTTATGGAACAGCGGGGACTGTGAAGCAACACAAACATAGGCACAGACACATGCATACACACACATGATAACATACTCACTATACACACACGTACACATGGATTTTGTATTGTAGATATGTGGTAGTGGAGTAGGGGCCTGAGGGCACACACTTAATGTGTTGTGAAATATGTTATGAATGTATTGTAATGTTTTTAAAATTGTATAACTGCCTTAATTTGCTGGACCTCAGGAAGAGTAGCTGCTGCCTTGGCAGCAGCTAATGGGGATCCATAATAATTACAAATACAAATTTATTTTTATTATTTCTCATAGTTCAATACCGTAGTCTACTTTGTTTTACCCATTTCAAAGATACTTTTCTGGGTCCTTTGCATCAGCCAAAAGGGACAATATCTTCTGACCTTCTGATAATCCCACTCATCCATTGGCTTCTATGTTTTTGTCTTGCTGTGAACAATGACTGTATATGAACGGACAAAGCCATCGATCATGTGACACCATTCATTCCTATGCAAAAACTCCCTTTTGCGTTGAAGCCAAATGAATACGGTAAAGATGGAGTCTCATGGATACATAACATGCGTAGTTTGAGCTATTCCAGGAAGTGGAGGCAAGGTCAGTGCTGCCCCTTCTCATTGAGTCAAGTTGAAGGCCGACCGGGGTACTGCAGACTGTCATTACATTTACATTTACTTATCCAGAGCGACTTACAAATTGGTGCATTCAACTTATGATAGCAAGTGGGATAACCACTTCATTTTGTTTTATTATTATTATTATTTTTTTATTTTTTTATGGGGGGTGGGGGAAGAAGGATTACTTTTATACTATTCCAGGTATTCCTTAAAGAGGTAGGGTTTCAAGTGTCTCCGGAAGGTGGTTAGTGACTCCGCTGTCCTGGTGTTGTGGGGGAGCTTGTTCTACCATTGGGGTGCCAGAGCATTAGCAACTCAAATTATCCTTATAACTTCTGTGAGTGATTTTAAAATAATCAGTTCAAGGACATACATCTGGTGTATTAGAAGTAATTATTGGTACCATGATTGTCTTTGAAAAACATGTTTATTTACTATTGGCCATTTTCCCATTCCCTGTTTTCTGCAAACAATGCCTGCAGTACTATGGTCGGCCTTGAACATCTGTGGCTTCAATGAGAGGGGGCAGTGGTTCTCCCCTGGTTTTGAAGGTGTGGCTGCTCTGAGTGCTGAATGGGTAGAGGAACTTTGTCTGAAAGGAAACACCGCCATCTACAGCTGATGATACACATTACTGTCAATGGCACATAGCCCAAAAAGAGGGTTAGGACTCATACCCTGACTCATAAACAATGATTTCTAACCACTGTGTTGAAGCCACCCTGCCTCCATTTTGGCACTCCCCCACCATTGTAAAACATATTTTGGAAGCTATAAAAATGCATTTATAAATGTCTACATTTGTTTTTGCCACGTTTATTCTATTACAGACACCTTAATGCATATAATAATAATATTATAATAATATGCCATTTAGCAGACGCTTTTATCCAAAGCGACTTACAGTCATGTGTGCATACATTTTTACGTATGGGGATCGAACCCACTACCCTGGCGTTACAAGCGCCGTGCTCTACCAATTGAGCTACATACTTTTAAATTATATAATGTGAGCTAAACATAAACATTTAAATATATATAAAGACATTTTCTTTAAAGTATCATTTTTAGAAAGTACTAATGCTACTGTCCCCACTACAACAACAAAAATTACTTAAATACATGTCATTTTGTCTTACAGTATATATACAGTGAGGGGAAAAACTATTTGATCCCCTGCTGATTTTGTACGTTTGCCCACTGACAAAGAAATGATCAGTCTATAATTTTAATGGTAGGTTTATTTGAACAGTGAGAGACAGAATAACAACAACAAAATCCAGAAAAACGCATGTAAAAAATGTTATAAATTGATTTGCATTTTAATGAGGGAAATAAGTATTTGACCCCCTCTCAATCAGAAAGATTTCTGGCTCCCAGGTGTCTTTTATACAGGTAACGAGCTGAGATTAGGAGCACACTCTTAAAGGGAGTGCTCCTAATCTCAGCTTGTTACTTGTGTAAAAGACACCTGTCCACAGAAGCAATCAATCAATCAGATTCCAAACTCTCCACCATGGCCAAGACCAAAGAGCTCTCCAAGGATGTCAGGGACAAGATTGTAGACCTACACAAGGCTGGAATGGGCTACAAGACCATCGCCAAGCAGCTTGGTGAGAAGGTGACAACAGTTGGTGCGATTATTTGTAAATGGAAGAAACACAAAATAACTGTCAATCTCCCTCGGCCTGGGGCTCCATGCAAGATCTCACCTCGTGGAGTTGCAATGATCATGAAAACGGTGAGGAATCAGCCCAGAACTACACGGGAGGATCTTGTCAATGATCTCAAGGCAGCTGGTACCATAGTCACCAAGAAAACAATTGGTAACACACTACGCCGTGAAGGACTGAAATCCTGCAGTGCCCGCAAGGTCCCCCTGCTCAAGAAAACACATATACATGCCCGTCTGAAGTTTGCCAATGAACATCTGAATGATTCAGAGGAGAACTGGGTGTAAGTGTTGTGGTTAGATGAGACCAAAATCGAGCTCTTTGGCATCAACTCAACTCGCCGTGTTTGGAGGAGGAGGAATGCTGCCTATGACCCCAAGAACACCATCCCCACCGTCAAACATGGAGGTGGAAACATTATGCTTTGGGGGTGTTTTTCTTTGGGGGTGTTTCGTGGATGGTTATTCCAGCATGACAATGACCCAAAACACACGGCCAAGGCAACAAAGGATTGGCTCAAAAAGAAGCACATTAAGGTCCTGGAGTGGCCTAGCCAGTCTCCAGACCTTAATCCCATAGAAAATCTGTGGAGGGAGCTGAAGGTTTGAGTTGCCAAACGTCAGCCTCGAAACCTTAATGACTTGGAGAAGATCTGCAAAGAGGAGTGGGACAAAATCCCTCCTGAGATGTGTGCAAACCTGGTGGCCAACTACAAGAAACGTCTGACCTCTGTGATTGCCAACAAGGGTTTTGCCACCAAGTACTAAGTCATGTTTTGCACAGGGGTCAAATACTTATTTCCCTCATTAAAATGCAAATCAATTTATAAAATTTTTGACCTGCGTTTTTCTGGATTTTTTTGTTGTTATTCTGTCTCTCATGTTCAAATAAACCTACCATTAAAATTATAGACTGATCATTTCTTTGTCAGTGGGCAAACATACAAAATCAGCAGGGGATCAAATACTTTTTTCCCTCAATGTATACATCATTGCTCATAATGCCACATCTAGGTCCTGTCACATAGAGAGAGAAAGGGAGGGCCACGTAGACATTAGAGCAGTTGGTGTGTCTCATTTGTATGAGTTTGTGCCTGCATTTCACCAGTTGCCACATGCATATTTAGAGCCAGAGCAGCCCATTTTAACATGCTTAGAGCACCACCCAAACTGTAGTCTTCAAAGTAGCCTGAGCTCCTACTGACTACTGACTCTGCAGTCTGTCTCTGGATTCTAAAGGTTCTGAGGTTCTCGGCATCATAATGAGGCCACTGACTGTCTTCCTGACTCTGCAATCTGTCTCTGGATTCTAAAGGTTCTAAAGGTTCTCAGCATCATAATGAGGCCACTGACTGGCTCCCTGACTCTGCAGTCTGTCTCTGGGTTCTAAAGGTTCTGAGGTTCTCAGCATCATAATGAGGCCCCTGACTGGCTCCCTGACTCTGCAGTCTTTCTCTGGGTTCTAAAGGTTCTGAGAGAGAGAGAGAACTTCCTAGTTTAAACACTGTCTATTCAGCATAACAATGCTCCTCTCTGCTGTCACGGTGAGTAAGCTCACTATTCTCTGTAGTAAACCTACTGTATTGTAGATCATTGGAATGAATAGTCTTAAAGGACAGGTAAGTCAGGTCCTTTATGTCAGTCTTAAGTAAGAGGCTTCAGTGTGTGAATATGATTCAGGGTAAGGCCGGTTAGGGTTGAAAATATGGTATTTTTTGTACTTGGTTGACCTCCTCCCAAATACAGATGAGGTTGGAGAGGAACTTCTGAACCTGCAGGTGAAGGAAATCATTATAAAGATCAGTTATTGATAGCCTACAAGGTTTCTGGTAAGTTCTTGTCTGGTATGTCATAAAGCCTATCTGTACAACAGCGCCATGAATAGAACTGAATTGAATAGATTCCCAGAAGGATTTTTAGTGACATAACAAATATAAATAGATGCAGCATATCTGCAGAGCGGTCTGTAGACAGCCTGTTACTAAACTGCTAGTTTAGCATGGTAACACACACACACACACACAGACACACGAACACACACCTTATCCAGCTGTTCGAGAGTGTCCTCCAGAGCGACCTCACCCCACACATCCTGGGCCTTCTTGCTGGTAGTCTGGTACAGGTTGAGGGTGGCCATCTTGATGGTGCTCAGGAGCAGGGTCTTCGTAGTTGCCGTGTTCTGGATGTGAGCCCACCGAGACTCCTGAGGGGACAAACACATGAAGAGAGAGAGACAGAGGGGTAAAGGAAAGGAAAGACTGGTCTGTGTGTTTCTCATGTCTACATTTTGGGAAACAGTTAGCGCACTGAAGCGTGGAAATTCCATCCCCTTCCCTGCTTAAGCAAGTTGTGTCAGACTCTCCCATCATTACTGAGAAAAATTAGATAAGTGATGCTTTTAATCAGCATTTTATCTCGGCAGGCTTTTTTATTTGAAAGAAATGGTGGTTAAATTGACCCTGGTCAGTCAGTCGACTACTCTTCCCTCTGCCTCCAGTTGGCTCGGTGGAAGATCAGTCAACTTCTAGTGAATCTTTGTTTTCATTTAAACAACTTTCTATTTGTGATCTACTAGATGCCCTGCTTAAGATTGATGTAAAAAAAAAAAATCCACTGCCGCTGATTTGCTTTATCCTTTCTGGCTGCATCTTTCTGCTCCCCTGATTGCGGAGTCATTGACACATATTTTTAATCTGATGCTTATCTCTGGTGCTATCCCCAGGATTTGGAAGGCGGCCCATGTGCTCCCTCTCCACAAAGGTGGTGACCCCTCCGACCTAAATAATTATCGCCCTATCTCGAAATTGTCTTGCCTAGCAACCATTTTTGAATCTTTAATCAACTGTTAGCTTAGATCCATCCTAGCTACAAGATGTATTCTAAGTGTTCACCCGTCTGGTTTCACTGTGCTGCCCTCTTTATTGACTTATCGATGGCTTTCCATACTGTTGACCACTCTTTACTGATTCAAAGATTGTCTGCAATCGGAATGGATAAGGTGTCATGTAATTGGTTAAAACATTACTTTACACACAAGGTGTATTTTACCCCCTTTTTCTCCCCAATTTCGTGATTACGATCTTGTCTCATCCCTGCAACTCCCCAACAGGCTCGGGAGAGGCAAAGGTCGAGTCATGGATCCTTCGAAACATGACCCGCCAAGCTGCGTTTCTTAACACCCGCTTGCTTAACCCGGAGGATGCATTACTCTACCTTCGCTTCACCCGGAGGATGGGATCGAACCCCAGGCTGTAGTCATGCCGCAACACTGCGATGCAGCGCCTTAGACCACTGCGCCACTCGGGAGGCAACAACTTGTTTTTTTCTGATGATGTTGAGTCAGGTTTCCTTCATATTACGAAAGGTGTCCCACAGGGATCGATTTTAGTCCTGTACATTTTACTGTCTATATAAACAATGTTGGTCTATCTGTAAAAAAAATGTTTTACATACAACTGTATGCAGATGACACTGTTGTGTATGCTGTTGCCCCCACGGCTGACCAGGCTCTGCCTTCATTGCTTTGTAGAAAGCCTTGGTTATGCTCTAAATCACGTAAAAATGTATCGGATTATTTATGCATATGTACATTGGATCGTGCTCTCATTGATTGTGTCACCGCATATAAATATCTGGGTATCTGGGTTGACGAAATGCTATCATGTTGATGAGTTAGTTAAGAAATTAATAATTAAAATGAGCTTCTTTTACAGGAATAAGTCATGCCTTTCATTAAATAGCAGTAAACAAATAATTCTGTCAACATTCATACCGGTTATTGTCTATATGAATGCAGCTGCCACTATGCTTTATTACGGACAATAGGTTCAGTACACATCACTGCATTCTGTATCAGAAAGTAGGCTGGCCTTCTTTGAAGTCTGTAGATCGATGCAATGCACTCTTTTTGTTTATAAAGCCCTCCTGCATGAACTTCCGCCGTACCTTACTTCATTGTTAACTTACAGACGTATGAGATTCCAGACCCAGTCTCAGGTATGGCTAACTCTCGATCTCCACTGAGTTAGATAAATCTGCTTTTAGTTTTTTTGCACCTTGCTTGTGAAATGGTCTCCAAGGCTCTCTGAAGTTTGGTGCCTCTAGGGCAATACAAAAGGCTGATTGAGGTCCTTTTTACTGTTTGTTTTCTATGATTGTGTTTAGCTTTTTGTGTATTGGTGTAAATATTGATGTGTATATTAATGTGTATAGTGATGTGTGTAGTGTATATTGATGTGTGTGCAGGGCTCATCTATGAAAGACACCTAGGTCTCAGAATGACTCCCTGTCGAAATAAAGGTTAAATAAATAAAAATGGTAAAACCATGCTGATCCCGCATTGGGCTGCACAGCCACATGTAATGTCTGTTGACTGTTATCCCCTCACCCATAGCATGGTCTCACTGCGTGCTCCGTCCAGAATGCTCTGTAGCTGGGCCAGCCTGTTGTTGTAGTGCAGCTGTCTTCGCTCTGCTCCAGGTACTGGGTCAGCTGGGTCCGGGCCGTCTCACAACACTCCTGGTTCTGCTTGGTGCTGGTCAGTAGTTCCTCCCTGATCTGGACCAGAGTGTCCAACCTGGACATCACCTGCCACACCTCCTGGAACTGAGAGGATTCTAACACTGTTAGAATAATGTTCACAAAATGGTTGACTTTGGGTTGATAATTACTCTAGGTTAGGGGTGCTAACACTACCCATCCCTATTAGACTGAGGGTCAGGTTAGGTCAGGGATGGCCAATCCTCCTCCTGGAGAGCTACTGCTCTTCATGGAGAGCTACTGGGTGTGTAGGCTTTTGTTCCAGCCCTGCTCTAACTAAAACACCTGATTCAACTATTAAACATCCTGATGTGCAGCTTATTAGTTTAACCCAGTAGCTCTCCTTATGAATAGGATTGGCCACCCCTGACCTGACCTGACTTTCTACCACATGCTTCTCTCAATGGCTTAATAATGGAAGTTATTTCCATTAAATACGTTACAAACCCATGGAGAGTCTTAGAAATCTCAGTATCAGTGCCAGTACCACCAAGCCAACACCAGACCAGAGAATTAGCTCACACTGCCTCCTCAACTATACAAACCTGACACCCCTCTACGGGGAGATGGTCTCTTCCATCTTATCATATCTCTCATTACCTGTTTGCTGGCTATGACCACTTTATCTAGAAAGCGGGGGTAGATTTCATGTTTCTCTACGAGAGCAGCAATCTTTTCTCTCTCTTTAGTGAGAGCCTTGAGCTCCTGTCTCAGGATGAGTAGGTTTGCTGCTTTCTGACGAGCTAGCTCTCTCTCCTTCACCGCTTTCTTCAACGCACTGACGTTTTTTCAATTTATTCTCCTGAGAAAGGCAGGAGGGGATTGGTTAGTAGAAACAGTTTGTATGGTGTGGAACTCCTGTCTCTGAGTTCAATGGAAAATATTAATAGGTTGAGGTCCTACTACTAAGGTCCTACTACCGGACCTCTCAACCTAGAGGAGGTTACCTGGAGAAATGTGTCGAAGTTCCTGAGGTATTCCTTTAACTTAACCTCCCTCTCCTTCAGCTCTTTATCTCTGACACGCTGGGCCATCAGGATCATGTCAAAGTCCTGATAGAGACACACACAGGAGTAGCGGCCAAAGGGCCAGAGGTCAGTGTGTGTGCACGTGTGTGTGTGTGTTCGTGTGTGTGCATGCCCATGTGTATCACCTCTTGAAGGGCCTCCATGGCCTTGTGTATGTCCAGCTCCTCTCTTCTCTTCCTGATGAGGCGAATGGTGGGAGCCAAGACATCATCAGTGGACAGGGGAGCTTTCCTGGTAAACAACAACAACAACTCAGTGTAATTTATTGTGTAAATGTACAGTTTCATTCAGTGTTTATATTGGTAAGGAGCATACCCCAAAGATAAAACATCATCATTAAAATCCTGAGGGTGTTCTATACTAGTCATGCACTTACAGTAACACTTTCTGAAGATTGTTCCCAAAGTATGTTTTGAAGTAATCAGTCAGATCTTCTGCTGCCTTTTTGTTATCCATGTCTGACAGTCAGTCTGACAGTCTGGCTGTGTCAGCTACTGCTAGAAACAAGAGCCCGACTGTGGACAACACTGTCATATCACTACATGTTATATCTAATGGAATGCTTGATCATACCTGGTCAGGAAATACTTAACAATGGTGTCCTAGCAACCAACTAGAGGGGCTTTTCCTTTTCCATAGTGATAGAACATAGAATTGGAACGGGTAGAACATAGAATGTGCCATAGAATGGAGGTAGAAATTCTATCTCTATGGTTTCTTACCCACAAAACTAGCAAAGAACCAGAACAGACAGTTGGGGGGGTTCCACATTCATTTCCATTCCACACAGTTCATTCGATAGAATTTAGAATCAGTGCTGTAATGTAGTTCTAATTTGATACTTATTCTAATCCTATCCACTGGGAGGCACCAACGGCGTGTCTTTCCAGCAGCGAAGTGCATGCGTCATCACATACTGCCTCTTGGCGCGTTCAATGCCACGTTCACAAAAACTAGGAACTCGGAAAAACAGGCTCTGACAAGGAAAAACTTGTGACGGTGACGTCAGTGATGTCCAGGTTGGAGAAGTCGTAGCTCTAGGATGATGCTTGAGTTTCCGACTTGTAATTCTGAGTTGTATGACCATTAAAAAATATTTTTCGCAGTCGGAGCTTCTTTTTTCCGACTTCACATTTGTCTAAATCGCACTGAAGTCGGAGGTTGGAGATTTCTGAGTTCCGTGTTGTCTTGAACACATGGTCTGTCTTGTGTTTACTGCGTGTCACCAGCCGTGGCAAAAATAACGTAAATGGTAGCTAGATCACTAGCTAGCTGTTCATCTAGCTACACACAAAAGGATTGCTTTTTTTATTCAGTTCAATTGTTGTATTATTTCGCGTCATTTTGTAGCTAGCGAAGTGAGCAGCAAATCAAATCCTCATTCCTCGATAGCTAGCCAGCCTGCTAACGTTTCCCATTTGTGCTAGCTTGCTAACTAACTAGCTACAGACAGAACCAATGCCAATGTAACTGTCATCGATGCATTAAACATCTAGCGTTGTGTGACACATTCAGGTACTGTAGTCCATATTCCCTCCTTTGTTTTGATTTTGATGCAATGAGCGTGCTTTCCGTTGCTTGCATGGAATGAGATTGATCGGGTATCGTTAGCCAGGTTGCAGGCAAGCTGCGGGTGGTCTGCTTACCACTGATTTGTTTGCCGAGTTCGGTTAGGTAACGTTAAGTTAGCTATCTGTTCAATTGTTGATTAACTGTATAATTTATTTATCTCTTGCTACCTAATTTCTCTGGGAGACATTCATTGACTGCTGTCTTTATTGTTAACAGAATGGACAAACGTGCATTGTTATTTACAGATCTCTCTCGCCCCCCCCCCCCCCCCCCCCCCCCCCCCCCAGTCTCTCTCTTCCAGCTCTCTCTCCCCTTCTCAGTCTCAGCACCATGAGCCTGGTCCGCGTCGTGTGTCGTCACAAGACTGCCCTGGCCATCGGAGGAGTGTGCCTCTTTGCTGTTGTCCTCCTTTTCCTCGCCAAGTGTACCTCAGAGACCCTAAAACAGGGCCAGGCCGACCCTCCAGGCCTAGCCCCCCACGCTGCCCACTCCCAGCCCCGCGCAGAGCACCCTGAGCTCCCCTCACGCCCCAAAGACCTCTCGGCCTTCCTGGTGGTCCTCATCACCACAGGACCCAAGTACACCGAGCGCAGGAGCATCATCCGTAGTACCTGGCTGGCTAAGAAGGATCCGGAGGTTCTAGCTATGTTCGTGGTGGGAACCGAGGGTCTTCCCGCCGAGGACATGCAGAACATCAACACGGAGCAGGGCCGGCACAAAGACCTGCTCTTACTCCCCGCACTGCGAGACTCGTATGAGAACCTGACCCTGAAGCTGCTGCATATGTACTCCTGGCTGGATCACAACGTAGACTTCAAGTTTGTGTTAAAAGCGGACGATGACACTTTCGCTCGTCTGGACCTATTGAAGGTATGCGTTTGATATGGAACGGGGCCAAATGGCACCCTCTTCACTATGTAGTCCACTACTTTTGACAAGGGTCCATAGGGAACCTATGTAGGGAATAGGGTGCCATTTGGGACAGGACCCTGGTATTTGTTTCGTGATGTGTTGTGATTTTCTTTACTCTTTTTGACTTTTTTAAACGGTTCTATATTGTCTAATATGGAGCTTGTGCTGCCAAACAAATGTATGCGCAAACACTCAATAACATATAATCTCTTCTCATCTTATAGGAGGAGCTGAAGACTAAAGAACCCAGCCGGCTGTACTGGGGCTTCTTCTCAGGCCGCGGTCGCGTGAAGACGGCAGGGAAGTGGAGGGAGTCGGCCTGGGAGCTGTGTGACTACTACCTACCCTACGCCCTGGGTGGAGGCTACCTGCTCTCCTGCGACCTCGTACACTACATCCGAATCAACACGGCCTACCTCAAGGTGTGGCAGAGTGAGGACGTGTCACTGGGGGCGTGGCTGGCCCCTGTGGACGTCAAACGAACACACGACCCTCGGTTTGACACGGAGTACAAGTCTCGGGGGTGTAGTAATAAGTACCTGGTGACCCACAAGCAGAGCCTGGAGGACATGTTGGAGAAACAGCAGACGCTGCAGAGAGATGGGAGGCTGTGTAAGGAAGAGGTTAAACTCAGACTGAGCTATGTGTACGACTGGAGCGTCCCGCCCTCACAGTGCTGCCAGAGGAAGGACGGAATACCCTGACCTATAACCCCTAACCTTCCTCACTTTGTCCACCCATGTAATTCTCATCAGTGTTTCCCCTACTACGGTTACCCAGGCGGTGTGGCGCTCCCCTTCAGCCTTACTCCGTTCTGTGGTGCCTCCCGCTCCACCTTCCCTGTAAAACATTGTGCTGCCTTCAGTTGACCTCCATAGAAGATGTCTGTTATGGCAGCCCGCCTATGAGAAGACCTGAGGAAAACACTGATCCCCCTTCCGTTTTTATATGTTTATTTATTTATTTATTTATTCTGGAGCCCTCACTGACTGAACTAAAGCACACCGGTACAGGACTGGGAGAGTGGACCTGACTGGAGCCCTCACTGACTGAACTAAAGCACACCGGTACAGGACTGGGACCTGACTTGGTGCAGCCACACAACATGAGACCTTAATTTATTAATAACAGCACATGTATGTTGGGAGAGAGTGTACTTAAAGGAACCGGTTTTCGGCTTACTGGTAGGACAATGAAGACACTCAAATCATTCCCGAATCTGTTTAAAATGTCCTGGAGTATCTCTAAGTGAAAGTGGCCCTATTTATGAATGTGATGAAAGGGATTCTCTTGATATGAAAATGGTGTGTATTGCTTCAGAACAATGGTACAGAATAACTCAGTCAAGGCTTGGTGTTTGGAGATGCATTGAGACTGAATGTCTAATAATGTAGGCCTCTCCCCTGCTTACTGAGACTTCTGTTCAGTTGGGAGATTTACCCTACCTGCTGTCTGTGTTTGGTTGACGTATTTACAAAGCCCAGTGATGGTCAACAGAGCTGTGTGTGTTCAGCTGAGCTACTCTACAGGCAATTGTCCAGCTGGCATTCGGTTACTTTTAAACAAACAAAAAAAGACTGCTTCTGTTAACGTCGTTGAAAGAAACCAACCGTTGTATTATTGTGTGACACTTTGACCATGTCCTCTCCTCATCACCAGTGTTGTTTAAAACCTACTGTCAAACTACTTCAATATGAATGTTTAAAATATTTGGACCTATTAAAATGTTTTGAAACATGTATTTTTGTGACATATTTATTAATAATACATAAACACTGTAAAGAAAAATATCTACTGTTCACACCCCAGTACCCTAATAATCCCTACGGCAGGGTTCCCCAATCCCCACCCACAGAACCAACCCTAATAACCCTGCAGCAGGGTTCCCCAATCCCCACCCACAGAACCAACCCTAATAATCCCTACAGCAGGGTTCCCCAATCCCCACCCACAGAACCAACCCTAATAATCCCTACAGCAGGGTTCCCCAATCCCCACCCACAGAACCAACCCTAATAATCCCTACAGCAGGGTTCCCCAATCACCACCCACAGACCAACCCTAATAATCCCTACAGCAGGGTTCCCCAATCCCCACCCACAGAACCAACCCTAATAATCCCTACAGCAGGGTTCCCCAATCCCCACCCACAGAACCAACCCTAATAACCCTACAGCAGGGTTCCCCAATCCCCACCCACAGAACCAACCCTAATAACCCTGCAGCAGGGTTCCCCAATCCCCACCCACAGAACCAACCCTAATAATCCCTACAGCAGGGTTCCCCAATCCCCACCCACAGAACCAACCCTAATAATCCCTACAGCAGGGTTCCCCAATCCCCACCCACAGAACCAACCCTAATAACCCTACAGCAGGGTTCCCCAATCCCCACCCACAGAACCAACCCTAATAATCCCTACAGCAGGGTTCCCCAATCCCCACCCACAGAACCAACCCTAATAATCCCTACAGCAGGGTTCCCCAATCCCCACCCACAGAACCAACCCTAATAATCCCTACAGCAGGGTTCCCCAATCCCCACCCACAGAACCAACCCTAATAATCCCTACGGCAGGGTTCCCCAATCCCCACCCACAGAACCAACCCTAATAATCCCTACAGCAGGGTTCCCCAATCCCCACCCATAGTACTCTAATAATCCCTACAGAAACTGTTTGACCTCAAACAACAGCCTTATTAGAGCCTTAGGCTACTTATCCATTTTTATTTAGAGGCAATACGTGTCTGATTGGTTGATCTCAGAACCAATGTGAGAAGTACTGTTCCTGTTTTCTGACTTTGGATCTTTCAGCATCTGTCTTCTCTTCATGACCACGATCTTCCATCTTGTGCTGATTATTCTATTCCCATCTCAAGACAAGAGAAGATTAAACAGACATCCTTCCTCACATCCAGCTGTTTACAAAGAACCTTATGCGGCTCTTAAGGTGTCATCACTTCTAGTCATAGCAGTGTCCTAGCTGGCAATGACAATAGCCTCATAGCCATTGTATATTAACAGGTGGTTTGTGTGTGGGTGTGTACGCATCTAAAGGTGTCTCCTGTCCTCCATCACCTCACCAAGCCTAGCTATATGACACATTTGGCAAGCTCCTGTGTTTCCTATGGAGGTGTTGTGCTAGGTCAGTAGGTCAGTTTATATAAACTCATCAAAAAAAGAAACGTCCCTTTTTCAGGACCCTGTCTTTCAAAGATAATTCGTAAAAATCCAAATAACTTCACAGATCTTCATTGTAAAGGGTTCAAACACTGTTTCCCATGCTTGTTCAATGAACCATAAACAATTAATGAACATGCACCTGTGGAACGGTCGTTAAGACTATAACAGTTTACAGACGGTAGACAATTAAGGTCACAGTTATGAAAACTTAGGACACTAAAGAGGCCTTTCTACTGACTCTGAAAAACACCAAAAGAAAGATGCCAAGGGTCCCTGTTCATCTGTGTGAACGTGCCTTAGGCATGCTGCAAGGAGGCATGAGGACTGCAGATGTGGCCAGGGCAATACATTGCAATGTCCGTACTGTGAGACGCCTAAGACAGCGCTACAGGGAGACAGCTGATCGTCCTCGCAGTGGCAGACCACGTGTAACAACACCTGCACAGGATCGGTACATCCAAACATCACACCTACGGGACAGGTACAGGATGGCAACAACAACTGCCCGAGTTACACCAGGAATGCACAATCCTTCCATCAGTGCTCAGACTATCCGCAATAGGCTGAGAGAGGCTGGACTGAGGGCTTGTAGGCCTGTTGTAAGGCAGGTCCTCACCAGACATCACCGGCAACAACGTCGCCTATGGGCACAAACCCACCGTCGCTGGACCAGACAGGACTAGCAAAAAGTGCTCTTCACTGACGAGTCACGGTTTTGTCTCACCAGGGGTGATGGTCGGATTCGCATTTATCGTCAAAGGAATGAGCGTTACACCGAGGCCTGTACTCTGGAGCGGGATCAATTTGGAGGTGGAGGGTCCGTCATGGTCTGGGGCGGTGTGTCACAGCATCATCGGACTGAGCTTGTTGTCATTGCAGGCAATCTCAACGCTATGCGTTACAGGGAAGACATCCTTCTCCCTCATGTGGTACCCTTCCTGCAGGCTTATCCTGACATGACCCTCCAGCATGACAATGCCACCAGCCATACTGCTCGTTCTGTGCGTGATTTCCTGCAAGACAGGAATGTCAGTGTTCTGCCATGGCCAGCAAAGAGCCCGGATCTCAATCCCATTGAGCACGTTTGGGACCTGTTGGATCGGAGGGTGAGGGCTAGGGCCATTCCCCCCACAAATGTCCGGGAACTTGCAGGTGCCTTGGTGGAAGAGTGGGGTAACATCTCACAGCAAGAACTGGCAAATCTGGTGCAGTCCATGAGGAGGAGATGCACTGCAGTAATTAATGCAGCTGGTGGCCACACCAGATACTGACTGTTACTTTTGATTTTGACCCCTCCCCCTTTGTTCAGGGACACATTATTCAATTTCTGTTCGTCACATGTCTGTGGAACTTGTTCAGTTTATGTCTCAGTTGTTGAATCTTGTTATGTTCATACAAATATTTACACATGTTAAGTTTGCTGAAAATAAACGCAGTTGACAGTGAGAGGACGTTTCTTTTTTTGCTGAGTTTACATACCATGTGTATTCTGTGCCTCTTGTGTAGTTCCTGATCCAGGTCAGAGGGTGGTCTGAGGGTCCGCTCTATCTCCCAGCGCTGCTCCCTGGGTCCGCGCTCTCCCAGCGCTGCTCCCTGGGTACGCTCTCTCCCAGCGCTGCTCCCTGGGTCCGCTCTCTCCCAGCGCTGCTCCCAGAGCTGCTCCCTGGGTACGCTCTCTCTCCCAGAGCTGCTCCCTGGGTACGCTCTCTCTCCCAGCGCTGCTCCCTGGGTACGCTCTCTCTCCCAGCGCTGCTCCCTGGGTCCGCTCTCTCCCAGCGCTGCTCCCTGGGTACGCTCTCTCCCAGCGCTGCTCCCTGGGTCCGCTCTCTCCCAGCGCTGCTCCCTGGGTCCGCTCTCTCCCAGCGCTGCTCCCTGGGTCCGCTCTCTCCCAGAGCTGCTCCCTGGGTACGCTCTCTCTCCCAGCGCTGCTCCCTGGGTCCGCTCTCTCCCAGCGCTGCTCCCTGGGTCCGCTCTCTCCCAGCGCTGCTCCCTGGGTCCGCTCTCTCTCCCAGCGCTGCTCCCTGGGTCCGCTCTCTCTCCCAGCGCTGCTCCCTGGGTCCGCTCTCTCTCCCAGTGCTGCTCCCTGGGTCCGCTCTCTCTCCCAGCGCTGCTCCCTGGGTCCGCTCTCTCTCCCAGTGCTGCTCCCTGGGTCCGCTCTCTCTCCCAGCGCTGCTCCCTGGGTACGCTCTCTCCCAGCGCTGCTCCCTGGGTCCGCTCTCTCCCAGCGCTGCTCCCTGGGTCCGCTCTCTCCCCGCGCTGCTCCCTGGGTCCGCTCTCTCCCAGAGCTGCTCCCTGGGTACGCTCTCTCTCCCAGCGCTGCTCCCTGGGTACGCTCTCTCTCCCAGCGCTGCTCCCTGGGTCTGCTCTCTCCCAGCGCTGCTCCCTGGGTCCGCTCTCTCCCAGCGCTGCTCCCTGGGTCCGCTCTCTCTCCCAGCGCTGCTCCCTGGGTCCGCTCTCTCTCCCAGCGCTGCTCCCTGGGTCCGCTCTCTCTCCCAGCGCTGCTCCCTGGGTCCGCTCTCTCTCCCAGCGCTGCTCCCTGGGTCCGCTCTCTCTCCCAGCGCTGCTCCCTGGGTCCGCTCTCTCTCCCAGCGCTGCTCCCTGGGTCCGCTCTCTCTCCCAGCGCTGCTCCCTGGGTCCGCTCTCTCTCCCAGCGCTGCTCCCTGGGTCCGCTCTCTCCCAGCGCTGCTCCCTGGGTCCGCTCTCTCTCCCAGCGCTGCTCCCTGGGTCCGCTCTCTCTCCCAGCGCTGCTCCCTGGGTCCGCTCTCTC